CAGCCAGGGGGGGCTGGTTAGGGTTTAAATTGAGGTTATTCCATGAGTTGTTTCCATCTTTGCCGGCTTGAGCATCCTGTGGGGATGCAGAGTGGGATGTGATTGTCCTTCCAGGTGCTGAGGATGCTGCCCTCCCCATCCTGCCCCTCGGCATCCCCATCCCTGCCTGCACACTCTCCCCTTGGCCTGGGATCAGGGGGCTCACAGCAGCTCCTTCCCCAGGGCAGCACGTGGTAGAGGCTGAAAACGCAGATTTACAGGGAGAGCAGGGTCTGTGGAGGGTTTCTGCACAGGGACAGACCCCAGCAGGCCCTGGGGGATGGATGGACGGAGCATTTCTGAGCTGGGAGTAAAAAGAGAAATACCTTTTATTACAGATAAAAGCCTCTTATGTTTCTAGAGAGCAGCGGCAGCCCCAGCGCGGGCGGGGACAGAGCGCTCGGTGCCAGGAACATGGAGCTGCTGAGTCCTCTTCTTCCTTCTCCTCCTCTTCTTCCTCCTCCTCTTCTTCCTCCTCCTCCTCTTCTCCTCCTCCTCCTCCTCCTCCTCCTCCCCCTCAGTAGCAGTGGGCGATGGTCTCCATGTTGAGGAAGCGAACGTGCATCTTGGTCTCGATGTCGATCCCCTGCCACATCTGCCAGGGGGACGGGGCTGAGCAGGGCCAGGGGCCCAACCCCAGCTCCCCGAGGCCCTCCAGCTCCCTCCTTCCTGGCAGATGCCACCAACCTTAAGGAAATCCTCGAAGGTGATGCCCTCGTACACCTGGTCCGGCCCCTGTGCCAGCGAGAGAGGAAACATCACAGCTGCCCCACACCACTGGGCACGGGGCTCTGGGGGCTCTGGGGGCTCTGGGTGACCCAGGGTGGGTCCCCTGGGGCAGTGGGACGAGTCTCCCATGGGTGCACAGCCCTGTACCCCACAGCCAACCCAAAATTAGTTCCCAGCCCACCTTTCCCATAAGCACTAACTCCCCAAACTCTGAGGACAGGGCTTTAAGGGACGCTGTTTGCTCACCCCCCTTGGGCTCTGCTCGTGGAACAAACCCGCCCTGAAAGCTGCTGCCTGCAAAAACACCTCCAGCCAGATCAGCTGGGAGATGCCCTGGGCAGGACAGACACCTCCCAGCCCCGTTTTTGGTGCCAGTGCAGCACCCCCGTGCCCCGGCAGGGCCGGGCAGCAGCTCCCACCATCTGTCCCACGCAGATGCTGGCGGCCTCCATCATGGCCCCGTCGGCGATGGAGCGGGCAGACTCCTTCTCCAGGTGGGGGTTCCCCGACAGCAGCTCCTCCACCACCTGCAAGACAGGAGGTCAGAGCCATGGCTGGGAACTCCCCGGAGCCCGGGCGGGAGGGGCCGGGCGTTACATTTCTGTACTCCTGCAGCGTGATCTTCCCGTCGTGGTCCGAGTCGTACATGTGGAACAGGACTGGGAGGGACGAGAGGAG